TTTACTCATCGCGATCACAACCAATTCCCCGCGATCGCGTAGCACACTGCTGTAGCCAAAAACCAGTAGCTTAAAATGGTCTAGAAATGGTCCGAAACTCACCCGAGCCCCATGGGACCCCGTCCAAACATACCAACAAGTCTCAAAACGTATCACGGACTTAGTCGAGCCTCAAATCATATCAAACAATGCTAAAACCATGAATCACACTCCAATCCAAGCTTAATGAACTTTAGAATTTCAAACTTCTATAATCGATGCTTAAACCTATCAAATCACGTCCGATTGACCTCAAATTTTTCGCACAAGTCATATTCGACATTACGGACCTACTCCAACTTCTAGAATCAGAATCCGACCCAGATATCAAAAAGTCCACTTCCGGACAAACTCCTCCAAAACATTCAAATTTCTATCTTTAGCCAAATGACTCCAAAATGACCCACGGACCTCCGAATTCACTTCCGATCGCGCTCCCAATACCAGAATCACCATACAGAGCTATTCCAAGACTCGGAATCCCAAATGGACTTCGATAACACTGAAATGTACTTCAACCCAAACCTATGAAATTCTTTCAAAAATGTCAACTTCCACAATAGGTGCCGAAACGTTCTCAGTTCTTCCAAAACCTGATTCGGACGTACGCCCAAGTCCGAAATCATCATATGAACCTGTTGGAACCTTCGAATCTTGATTTTGAGGTCGTTTACTCAAAATCCAATCTTAGTCCATTCTTTCACCTTAAAGCTCCCGAATTGAGAATTTTCTTTCCAAATTAACTCCAAACTTCTCGAAATTCAATTACGATTATGTGTACAAGTCATAATACCTGAAGTGAAGCTACTCATGGCCTCAAACTGCAGAACAACGCGCTAGAGCTCAAAACGATCGGTCGGGTCGTTACACAATCAATACAACATAATTAAGGTTAAGCATACGAAGGAGTATGATCGTTATGATCCTTTCATAATTGCACATAATGTTAGGCAAGTGTATTATGCTCCTTATCCATTGTGGCGCAATAAGTCCTATTGGTGGGTTGTAATAAAAACTAAGCATGTAGGTAGGGTGAAAGTCAAGAATGTGTTAGATGTTACATATCAAAACGATATCTCTAGTGTTCACCAAATAGTAGATGAACTTTTAGAAAATGATTTGGAACATCCTGAACACATATTGGAAGAAGTTGATATAAATGAAGTAACAATTATAGAAAATGAGGAAGAAGAATCAACTGATGAAGCTCAAACTAGTGAGGAAGATGAATTCTCAAACAAGGAACAATACGTCGATGAGCTTTAAAAAGTTGGTTTCATTAATAACTCTCATTTTATAGCTAGTTTCTTATATGTTTCAATCTAAATATGTATTATATTATGCAGATGAGAGGCAAGGGTCAAGGTAACAATGACTCTACTGGTTCTCGGGGTCGAGAAAAGGCTAGGAAGGCAAAGAGGAGGGTAGAAGATAATACTGCATCTTTTCCACCCTCTTTAGAGATGTCTATGCCTATGTCTATGTCTTATCCTCCTCCCCATGGCTACTCTGAGATACCATAGCATCACAAGCCCTACACCTTCGTTCAGACACTAGGTTTTTCATCACAGGGCTATAGGACTATACGTCCGGCATACAGTCCAGCTGCCTCACAACCACGTGGATCACAGCCATCTGTATCGCATGGATCGCATCCATCCATGTCACATCCACATGAATCACATCCATCCGTGTTATAGCCACTCGGGTCACAGCCACTTAGGTCATAGACATCAGTATCACAACTATCAGTATCACAGCCACTTGCGGTCCATCAAGCTATGTCGCAGTCATAGGGATCGCAACCATCTTCACCAGCGACTCTATCTATTTCAGGCCTTCGCCTGCGAGATATAGCTGTAACCCCCCTACACCTTCCACATATGCCTCTGATATACATGTTTCGGACGGTGATGTTGATGATGACGAGGAGGTGCATTATGATCAATATGGTAGGATTATCATTGTCCCTGAGGGTGATGGGTAAGAGTTATTTGTTATTTTTACGTTTATTGTTTTGTACAGTTTGTACTAAGATATGATAATGTTTTTTTAATTAAATTGCAGGTTCATCCTGAGTAATATTACTATGAGGATAATCACCAAAGCCACCAGAAAGCTTTATGATGGCCCTTATTCGACTTGGAGTGAATTCCCATTCCCGCTGAAGGAGCAAATTTTCAATCAATTTAATGCATAAATGTTCTTTTAAGTAGTATAATTATTTATATTTATGATATTTTCATATAATATTTAACCTTTGAAATACACAGCAAGTGTGTATGGGAACATCGCTATAGCGCGGAAGTGGCTGCAAATTTTCATGATAAAGCTCATAAGTGGTTGTCGCATAGTTTCTCCAAAGCTAGAAAGTTAAACCAGAAGCCTGACTCGTTGCTTCAGAATTTATGGGAGGATTTGCAAAGGCAATGGCTTACCGCAAAGTTCTTAGAGAAGAGCAAAAAAGGAAAGAAAGCTCGCGCATCTGAGAAGGGAGGCTCCTTGCACACTGGAGGTGCAATCAGCCTAGGGACAATAAAAAGAAGATTGGTACATAATTGCTTAATTTATTTTAATTTTCAAAGTATATCTATTATGTTTATTAACTAAAATTTATGAGTTTTCAGGAAAAGAAGTTGGGGCGTCCAATGAACCAAGATGAGCTATTCAAGGAGACTCATATTAAAAGAAGAAGAAAGAGACGGATTAAGAAAGGTGGGTCGAGGGTCGAACCTCGATTGTACATGTAAGTTTTTATTTTTCATTAAGTATTTTGATTTACTTTTATATAAATTTTGAAATACTAATTCAATGTAATTTTTCTTATAGGGTCGCTTCACAGCTGACGTGGAGGAATTCATACGCAGTCAGCCACCTAATGAGTCGGGCGAGCCAATCCAACCTTAGGACGAGGATGCTGAAAGAATGTGGATGGAGGCTGCTGGCGGTCCAAAATGGGAGAAGGTATACAAGCTTCCTACTAATAAATTCCATCGTTATAAGTGTGGAATGCAAGGAATAGGGACTTCCTCGCAAGGCGAGCAACTTGATGGGGAGAGCCTCTCCGCTATGCGGGAGACTGTGACAAAGCTCACATCCGAGCTAGAAGCGGCCAAGGAAAGAGAAAAGCTTAGAGATGCTCAGTACATTGGCATACAAGCTCAGTACCAGGCATGCAAGAGAAGCTCAAATCTCTCCTAGCTTCTAGAGGTTTTCTGATTCTCCGTCCTCGTGAGTCATCGTCAGAGGCTCGACTTGAACGTGAGCGTTCCTTCCGTCCTCTCCATGCTCATTCCTCCCGTCCCCCCGTGAGCGTTCTTCTCGTCCTCGACAAGTAGACCCTTCTGTATACCATCTTGTTGATAAAAGTTCATCAGACGGTGATGATAATGATGTTGTACAAAACACTCCTTGACTTTTATATACTTTGAACAAGACAAATAGAACTGATTTTGAAATAGGTGCAATAAGCGTTAACTTAGTTTTGTTAGTTTAATTTGTTAGTTCTATTGAACTTTAATTTGTTGGTTTAAATGTGTTTTTTGAATTTTGTTGTTGTTGTTGTTGGGTTGTTGTGGAGATTTTGGTATTGAAATTGTCGTTTATGAATTGAATTATATTGTTATTTAGGGATTTTGGTATGCTGGCAGGTGGTGTAGCTGCCAAAACAGGCGTTTTATGCCAAAATTATTACCCAGAAAAACGACCAAAGTTTGTCGCTTACCTATTAAAAAAAATAATTCTGGAAATTAGCGACCAAGGTTGGTCGCTTATATATTAAAAAATTAAAAAATTAAAAATTGGGGACCAAGATTGGTCGCTTATGTATAAAAACAATTATAAAATAAAACAAAACGACCAAAGTCGGTCGCTTATGAACCCAGTTGGTCGCTAATTTTTTATATATAATAATTTAAAAAATATTGTAATTTAAATGTAGAGACCAATGTTGGTCGCTAAATTTATATTATTAAAATATTATACCGACCAAATTTGTCGGTATTTTGTTTACAGTGAACATTTGATCATTTTAGCTAAGCGACCAACTTTGGTCGTTAAAGTAAAGGGACCACCAATATAGCTACCAAGCATGTTTGGACGCGTTTTGGTCGCTATATTGAGATAAGTAACCAACGTTGTTCGCTTTTTGTGGCCGCTAAAACCCGAATTTCTGGTAGTGTTAAACTTCAACTTTTTCAACTTTCACTGAAATGCCTCAAATTACCCTACGGGCCTCCAAATCCAAATCCAAATCCGAACACACGCCCAAGTCCAAAATCACCATACGAAGCTACTGACATCATCCAAAACTCATCCCGGAGCCATTTACTCAAAAGTCAAATTCCGGTCAAATTCTCTCCGCTAAAGCTTCCAAAACTATATTCCTTCTTCCAATTTGACCCCGATTCATCTGGAAACTGAATCCAACCATGCACACAAGTCGATGTACATAATGTGAAGCTGCTCATGACCTCAAACTGTCGAACCGAACGCAATTGTTCAAAACAACCAAGCGGGTCGTTATACAAATTTGCATGCATGTCTTTCTTTTCTATCCACTCAAATCCATCGTTGCTGATCCATCTGAAATTTCCAGTATAGATGAATGATTAGAGCAATCATTATGCAAGCTTTTAACCCACATTTATCCAGCAGCAGGTAGATTTGCAGCTAATGATAATAGTCACTCAGTTGATTGCCTTGATCAAGGTGTTACATATATAAAGGCAAAAGTTAACTGTCAATTCGATGATTTTATCAAAGCTGCACTAAAGGATATTGATTTTGCACTAAACTTTTGCCCCGACATGGTTCGTGATGCTTCTAATTCACCATTAGTGGTAGTGCAAGTGACCAAGTTTAATTGTGGTGGGCTAGCTTTAACCATCAGCACTTCACACTCTGCTATGGATGGATTCACATAATCGAAATTCCTTTACGAGTGGGCTAAAGTGAGTAAAATGGGAACTTCCAGAAAGGATATCAACTGCTTCACCTTTGATTTAGGAACCATCTTCCTAGCAAGTGATCATTCGTCGAAAATTCTCAAGTCCTCCTCGAGTTCTATAAGAAAACCTAGAGAGATTGCAATGGTGGCAAAGAGGTTTGTCATTAATGAATCAGCAATATCAAGTCTTAGGGACAAACTAGGTTTCAAACCCACAAGGGTTGAGATGGCGATTTCTCTTTTGTGGAGGGCTCTAATCAATGCTTCTCAACAAAGAAATGGGCATTTAAGACCTTGCTTATTGATTCTTTCTATGAATTTACGTGGTAAGATTGACTTTCCAAGATATAAAAGTTCCTTTGGAAATTTTGCTATTGATGTTCCAGTCAAATTCATACCAGGAGGAGCAGAAACAAAAATGGAGTTGCAAGATTTTATAATATTTCTTAAGGATACAATACAAAAGAAAAGCTTATTATTTGCTAAAGCTTCTACATGTGACTTATTTTCCATGGTAGCCAAGTTTCATGACGAAATACAACAATGGGAAGATAATGATGAAGTGGATGTATTCATGGTCTCAACCTTGTGCAGCTTTCCTGTTTATGAATCGATTTTGGGTGGGGAAAACCGTGCTTGACAAGTTTTGGATTAAGACGTAGCGATATGTTTTGGTTGCATAAAACAGAATGTGGCACTGGAATTGTTGTGCAGGCGGATTTGAAGCAAAGCTACATGGAAATGTTTGAATGTGACCATGATGTATTGGCTTTCACTTGCAAGTACGGTGCTCCCCTTAAGAGTTTTCTTTAAATTCTCTCTTGTAACAACCAATATTGTGATGACCCAAAAGGTCATCTCTTGTTTTAGAAGTCAAATCTTTGTTTTGAGGCATTAACAACCTCCTTTTTGTCTCAGCTCGATTTGTGTGTGCAGTCCGGGCGTATATCCGGAAAGCTTTTATGTGAAAATATATTAATTAATAATTTTTAAGAGTTCATATTAGATTTTTAGTTGACTTTGGTCAACATTTCGAGTGAACAGACCCAGACCCGTGTTCTAACGGTCCCGGGAGGTCCGTAGTAAAATATGGGACTTAGGTGTATGCCTGAAATTGAACTCCGAGGTCCCTAGCTTTAGAAATCAATTTTTGAAGAAGATTGTTATGCTGGATTTTCAAGGAAATAAAGAAATGAATTTATGTTTGAACTCATTGGTATCGGGCCCGTATTTTGGTTCTGGGGCCCGGTACGGGTTTGTTATAATATTTAAGTCCCGTCTGTAAAATTGGGCGGAAATCGGAGTTCATTTGACGTGATTCGGACCTCTGTTTGAGAAAGTAGTGAATTTGAAGTGTTCTTGAGAAAAGTCATGGATTTTGAGGTTAAATTCGTAGCTTCCTCATCCTTGATGCACTTCACTTGGTCCAGAGCACGAGCTTTCCTCTCACGCACCTTGACTAGCCTGTACAACTTCTTATCCCCTCCCTTGCCTCCAAGTTCTTTATACAGGTGTTCAAATGCGGCAATCTTAGCCGCAGTTACTACTAACTTCGCTTCCTTCTTAACCACCTTATACCTCTCTATGTTCGTGCACTTCTCCTCCTTGTCCCCGCTCTCCAAAAGCTTCACATATGTTGCTTTCTTGGCTTTCACTTTATATTGGACCTCAACGCTCCATCACCAATCCCTTTTGTGGACACCAGGGAGCCCTTCGAGACCCCCAATACCTCCCTAGCAGCATCTTTAATGTAATTCGCCGTCACAGTCCACATACCACTCGCTTCCCAACAGCTCCTCCATGCCCCCAAAGCTAGCAACTTCTCCCCCAACTACAGGGCTCTGTCTTTAGACCCTGTGCAGCCCTCTTACTTCTCTTCCTCATAATCTTCAAATCCATGACCAGAAGCTTATGCTGGGTTGTGAGGTTTACACTCGGAATGACCTTACAGCCTGTGCATAGACCTAGATCAAACCTTCCAAAGAGTAGAAAGTTAATCTGGGTCTTAGCTTTCGAACTTTGAAAACTAACCAAGTGCTCCTCCTTCTTCGGAAAACTAGAGTTAGCTATCACCAAATCAAATGCCTTTTCGAAATCCAGTAGCGAAATCCCTTCTCCGCTCCTAACTCCAAAACCAAAGCCTCCAAACACGTCATCATAAACCCAGATGCCGCCCAAATGTGGCTATTGAAATTCCCTCCTATGAAAAGCTTCTTGGTGTGTGGTACGCCACGCACAACCTCATCCAAGTCCTTCCAGAAGCACCTTTTAACTTCCTCGGCGAAGCCTATTAAGGGCGCATACGCACCAATCATGTTTAAAGTAAAGCCCCCAACAACTAGATTAATGCCCATGAGCCTGTCGCTCACCCACCTAACCCCCACCACCAGCTACTGGAGGTCCCTCAAAACCAAAATGCCTACCCCGTTCTTGCCCCCCACGCATGCAGAGTACAATAGTTTAAACCTGTCTATATCTCGCGCCTTATCTCCCTTCCATCTTGTCTCCTGGAGACAAGCTATATTGATTTTTCTCTTATGGAGAATCTTCTCTAACTATATAGACTTTCCCGTCAAGGTCCCTATGATCCGGGAACCAACTTGCAGCCTAGAAGCACCCTTACCACCCTTACCCCCTTGCCCTACCTCCTGAGGACCCCTCCGAGGACATGACATTATCCTACCATCGTTCAATATAGCTAAAATAATCAAGACACACTAAGACCTCGAGAGTACAGTCTGAAACTAAAAGGCACAAAAGTATGGGAAAACACAGGTACGAAGAAAGATATTAGCAGCAAGATAAGTAACCAAGAACCCTAAACGATGCTAATAGGCCCAAAAGCAAGTACAAGAGGACTAAGCAGTACGAATGAATGAATGAACAATCAAATGAGCTAAACAAACAACGAACTAAACAAATAAATCACGGATGAAGCAAAACAATAATAAAGAATACGCAAAGAGCAAAGAACAAATTTAAACAAAATCTAATGAAACAAAGTTTAACCAAACAATAACGTAGAACCTGGTACCATCGTCGAAGAGCAAAGAACAGATTTAAACAAATTATTTTATAAATAATTTAAAACATTTAATAAATATTTACAATAAAAAGATATGGCCAAAGAAAATATTATTTGACTGCTAAAAAATTAATAGCTTCACGTAAATTGATGGGGAAGGAATATATGTTAATACTCCTTATATTACGACCTAGATTTGGCCGCGATTGTTCATGCTCTTAAGATATAGCGTCATTATTTGTATGGGGTGTCATGTGAGGTTTATACTGATCATCGCAGCTTACAGCGTTTGTTCAAGTAGAGGGATCTTAATTTGAGGCAGCACAGGTGGCTTGAGTTACTAAAGGATTATGACATCACCATTGTTTATCATCCGGGCAAGGCAAATATGGTCGCACATGCCTTAAGCAGAAAGGCAGAAAGTATGGGTAGCTTGGCATTCATTCCAGCAGTGGAGAGGCCACTAGCTTTGGACATTCAGTCCTTGGCTAACAGACTTGTGAGGTTGGATATTTCAGAGCCCAGCAGAGTCCTTGCATGTGTGGTTACGCAGTCTTCGTTATTGGGGAAGATCAAGGCCCGGCAGTTCGATGATCCCCATTTGGCGGCTCTTAGGGGGACGGTACTTCAGGGAGGTGCCAAGGAGATTACTATTGGCGTGGATGGTGTTTTGGGACTTCTGGGTTGTCTATGTGTTCCTAATGTGGATTATCTGAGAGAGAGGATTCTAGAAGAGGCCCACAGTTTGCGATATTCCATTCATACGGGTTCCACGAAGATGTATCGTAACTTGAAGCAGCATTATTGGTGGCGGAGGATGAAGAAAGACATAGTAGAGTATGTGGCTAAGTTTTTGAATTGCCAATGGGCCAAATATGAACATCAGAGGCCGGGTGGCCTACCTCAGCAGATGCCTATACCGGAGTGGAAGTGGGAGCACATTACCATGGATTTTGTAGTTCGGTTGCCCCGGACTTTGCAGAAGTTTGATTCATTTTGGGTCATTGTCGATAGGTTGACCAAGTCGGCTCACTTCATTCTAGTGGCGACTACTTATACAGCGGAGAGGTATGCTCAGATTTATAATCGGGAGATAGTTCGGTTGCACGGTGTGCCTGTTTCTATCATATCAGATAGAGGCCCTCAGTTCACTTCCTATTTCTAGAGAGCTGTTCAGAGTGAGTTAGGGACCCGTGTAGAGCTCAGCACAGCATTCCATCCTCAGACCGATGGGCAGTCGGAGCAAACAGTTCAGATTTTAGAGGATATGCTTAGAGCATGTGTGATTGACTTTGGAGGGTAGTGGGATCTGTTCTTGCCCTTGGCGGAGTTTGCATATAACAATAGCTATTAGTCCAGCATTGAGATGGCTTCATACGAGGCTTTATATAGTCCTCATTGTCGTTCTTCTATCAGGTGGTTCGAGCCTGGTGAGGCTAAGTTGTATGGTACAGACTTGGTACAGGATGCCTTGGATAAGATGAAGTTGATTTAGGAGAGGCTTCACACAGCTCAGTCCAAACAGAAGAGTTAAGTGGATCAGAAGGTGCGTGATGTATCATTTATGGTTGGCGAGAAGGTTCTCTTGAAAGTCTCGCCAATGAAAGGCATTATGAGGATCGGGAAGAAGGGCAAGTTGAGCCCAAGGTTTATTGGCCCCTTTGAGGTGTTGAGGAGAGTTGGGGAGGTTGCCTATGAGCTTGCCTTACCCCCAGCTTATCGGGAGATCATCCAGTTTTCCATGTATCGATGCTTCGGAGGTATCACTCCGACTTGTCCCATGTGTTATACTTCAGTACTATTCAGTTGGATGAGAGCTTAGGTTATGAGGATGAGCCAATTGCCATTATTGATAAATAGGATCGCCAGTTGAGATCTAAGAGGACTTCTACAGTAAAGGTCCAGTGGAGGGGTCAACCATTCGAGGAGGCGACCTGGGAGTCCGAGGAGGACATGCGGAGCAGATATCCTCATTTATTCAGCTGCTCAGGTACTTTTCTATGTCTGTTCGAAGACGAACGTTTGTTTAAGAGGTGGAGAATGTAACGACCCGCCTAGTCGTTTTTCCTTTTAGAACCCCCGTTCCCCTAAATAAAACTTCCCACGCTTGCTTTAGTTAATTTATGACTTGTGGGGACGGTTGGTTTGGGAATTAGAAGGGTTTTGAGTGAAATATACCCATTTGATTCCTTAGGATTCTCTTAAAGGACTAAGTTTGACTTTGGTCAATATTTTGAGCAAACGGACCCAAATTCATGATTTGACAATCCCGAAGGGTTCGTGGGAAAATATGAGACCTGGGCGTATATCCGGAATCGAATTTCGAGGTCCCTAGCCCGAGTAATGAATTTTTCTTAGAAATTGTTAATTTTAAGTTTTAAGGATTTAAAGAAACTAAGTAATGATTGATTTCATGGGTATCGAGCTCGTATGTTGGTTTCGAAGCCCGGTACAGGTACGAAATATCATTTAAGACTTGTCCGTAAAATTTGGTGTCAATCTGAGTAGTTTAAGGGCGTTTTGGCCCGTTTGAGGAAAATTAAGAACTTGAAATTCGTAAGTTTGATTCATTTGGTTTTAGGGGGTGATTCCTAGATTTAGCATTGTTTCGGGTG